CGCTGCTCCTTTTCTTATGTGGCCTTTTAAGTAGACTTTAGATTTGACCGGCAGCTTATATTCAATAATCGGCAACTAGGAACAGCTAAAATCTGCTTCGATTATTTTGTTTTAAGATAGAGTTTTCTTGTTGTTGTAATCTGGCAAATATTAGCCATTCCACTTAATTCTGCTAGACAATTACTTAACAGCAGTTGGTCAACGCTTATTCAGCCGTTTGTCCTCTCATCTTCAAATTACTTTTACATAGAAACTGTGGCAATGATAGGACCTTTACTTATTGTTAGGACCCATTAGTGTTTACATAACTGCAGCGTTTTGATAGCAAATGATAAGTGCCTTATCTCACTCAAAAAAATGAATATTTGGCGCAAAAAAGTGGTAGATAACATAATCGTTCGAAAAATTCCTATATAAATTAACCTACGTTATACGCTCGATCCCCAACTATAAGTCTGCACAGTTTTCTCGGTCGAGAAACAAAAATTTGTATCTAGTACATAAATAGCACATTCACGCAAACATTCACACATTCACACATTTTTGGTTTCATTTTGTGTTTTATATCTAAAAAAGGATTTTAGTGTTAGGTTTTATGAGAGCCTTGTTTGAGAACATTCTATTAGAAAGATTATTCGTATTTCCTTTCAATTGCAAACTATATCTTAGCTCAGCATGTTCATCACTGAAACTATGGAGCATAAGATTCTGCATACATTGACCAATCAAGCGCTAGTTTGCTTTTATCGCTAGCCCAACACTGCGGACTGGAGCAAAAACAATTTTCTGCAATCCTGCCGTAGGCCTCTTGTGTAAATGATTTTTTGAGGAAACAGACCATTTGTACGGCTCTGATAATTTCAAAGATCTAGTGAGATTGTTGGGGAAGTCAGAGTTCCATAGCCTAGCTCATTTAACTTTTATAGGGTTGAATTTGAAATTTGTGGTCTTCTGCAATCGCACAAACGATCCCGCAAAGTGAATTTAGCCCATCTGCAGTATCCTGCCTCGGCTACTGTTCTTCTTACGTCAGTCCTAGTGTCATTACTATAAACATTTGTCATAGGTTTCCCCTCTCGCTAGTTGCGTCAATTCAGATATCCACGAAAAACCATCTTTATTTCAGAGGTTTTCGCTTTGCGCTATAAAGTTCTTTAAACTCTCAAAGTAGTCAGATTACCAAAAGCATAGCATAGTTTATTGGAGCTCTTCCTCCTATATACTGGCCTATAAATAGTAAAAAAGTTCTAAAAT